ATTCTTGATAATTTAATTCATTAGTTTAATTTATTCGTTATTAAATTAGGTTATAAACAACCAATCTTTTTATCAAAATTAATTTAGGAATTTGACAATTAAATTAGTTTAATTTCACAATAGTCCCTGTGGATCGATACCTGGACTTGCCATTATTCTGATAGAATTTGGTATAGTTTAGTATTTAATTTTGGTGTGTTCAACGACCCATCAGTTGACAATGTGAATATTCACATTGACATGTTAACATTCACATTGATAAGAGTATAAAATTGGCCAGCGGCCCAGGGCGGGCCCGGCCCGTTGACAATGTGAATATTCACATTGACATGTTAACATTCATATTGATAGGAGTGTAAAATTAGCCCAAGCTTCGTGACTGCCCAAAACCCACCCACGGCCCGTGGGCTGCCCGGGGAGGGCCTGGCCATTTTTTTTAATTCTTTTTAATTTTCTATACCAAAATTTTATTATTTTTCACAAAAAAAGACACTAGGCCTCGGCGCGAGCCGGGCCTCAGACCAAGTCTTGAATGGGCCTTAACCGGGCCGATGGGCCGGGCCGGGCTTCAAAGTGATGGCCCAGGCCCTAGCCTAGGGTCTCGGACTAGGCTCGAGCCTGGGCCAAAGCGAGCCTTTCCCGGGTCGGGTCGGGCCGGCCCACAGGCCAAAAAATTAGGCCAAGGCACAAGGGTATTTGGGCTTTGGAGAGGCCGATGGATCAAGCCTCGGGTTGGGCCGGTGGGCCTGGCCCTAGCCTTGAGCTTAAGTCGGGTTTGGGCGGGCCTGGCCATTTTTTTTTAATTCTTTTTAATTTTTTCTACCAAAATTTTATTATTTTCCATAAAAAAATACATTGCGCCTCGGGCAAGCTGGGCCTCGGACTGAGCCTTGAATGGGCATTAAGCGGTCCAATGGGTCGGGCCGGGCTTCAAAATGATGACCTAGGCCCTAACCTAAGGTCTCGGACATGCTCGGGCCCGGACCGAAACGAGCATGCCCCAGGCCATGGGCGGGCTTCGGGCAGCCCATGGGCCGCGGGCTAATTCTACATTCCTATAAATGTGCATTTTAACATGTCAATGTGAATTTTCACATTATCAACAGGCAGGACAGGCATTTCCCCAAACCACGGACAAGCTTCGAGCAGCGGGCAAATTTTACACTCCTATCAATGTTAATGTTAACATGTCAATGTAAATATTCGCATTGTCACAGGTCGGGCCAAGTCCGCCTTGGGCTGTGGTCGAGCTTCGGGCCGCCCACGGGCTGCGGGCCAATTTTACACTCTTATCAATGTGAATGTTAACATGTCAATGTGAATATTCACATTGTCAACGGGCCGAATCAAGCCTGCCCTGAGCCGCTGGCCAATTTTATACTCTCATCAATGTGAATATTAATATGTCAATGTGAATATTCACATTATCAACAGGCCAGGCCGGGCCCGCCCATGGGCCGTGGGCGGGTTTCGGGCAACCACTGGGCGCGGGCTAATTTTACACTCCTATTAATGTGAATGTTAACATGTCAATATGAATATTTACATTGTCAACGGGGCTACTGTCCAGTTTTATACTCTTATCAATGTGAATGTTAACATGTCAATGTGAATATTCACATTGTCAACAGGCCGGGCCGGGCCGGGCCTGCCCCGGGTTGCCCATGGGCCTTGGGCGGGTTTCGGGCAGCCACGAGGCGCGGGCTAATTTTACACTCCTATCAATGTGAATGTTAATATGTCAATGTGAATATTTACATTGTCAACGGGCCAAGTCGGGCCTGCCCTGGGCCTCTGGTCAATTTTATACTTTTATCAATGTGAATGCTAATATGTCAATGTGAATATTCACATTGTCAACGGGCCGGGTCGGGCCCGCCCTGGACCGCTGGCCAATTTTATACTCCTATCAATGTGAATGTTAACATGTCAATGTGAATATTTACATTGTCAACGGGCCGGGTCGGGCCCGCCCTGAGCCGCTAGCCAATTTTATACTCCTATCAATGTGAATGTTAACATGTCAATGTGAATATTCGCATTGTCAACGGACCGGGTCAGGCCCGCCCTGGGCCGCTGGCCAATTTTATTCTCTTATCAATGTGAATGTTAACATGTCAATGTGAATATTCACATTGTCAACAGGCCGGGCCGGGCCCGCCCCGGGCCACCCATGGGCCGTAGGCGGGTTTCGGGCAGCCACGAGGTGCGGGCCAATTTTACACTCCTATCAATGTAAATGTTAACATGTCAATGTGAATATTCATATTGTCAACGAGCCAGGTCGGGCCCGCCCTAGGCCGTTGGCCAATTTTATACTCTTATCAATGTGAATGTTAACATGTCAATGTGAATATTCACATTGTCAACAGGCCGGGCCGGGCCTGTCCCGGGCCACCCATGGGCCGTGGGCGGGTTTCGGGCAGTCACGAGGCGTTAGCTAATTTTACACTCCTATCAAAGTGAATGTTAACATGTCAATGTGAATATTCACATTGTCACGGGTCGGGCCAAGCCCGCCTAGGACTGCGGTCGGGCTTCGGGCCGCCCATGGGTTGCGGGCCAATTTTACACTCTTATCAATGTGAATGTTAACATGTCAATGTGAATATTCACATTGTCAACGGATCGGGTCAGGCCCGCCTTGGGCCGCTGGCTAATTTTATACACTTATCAATGTGAATGTTAACATGTCAATGTGAATATTCACACTGTCAACAGGCCGGGCCCGGCCCGCCCTGGGCCGCGCATGGGTCGTGGGCGAGTTTCGGGCAGCCACGAGGCGCTGGCTAATTTTACACTCCTATCAATGTGAATGTTAACATGTCAATGTGAATATTCACATTATCAACGGGCCGGCCCAGGCCCGCCCAGGGCGGCAGGCGGGCTTTTGGCCAACCATGGGCCGCGGGCCAATTTTATACTCTTATCAATGTGAATGTTAACATGTCAATGTGAATATTTACATTGTCAACGGGCCGGACCGAGCCCGCCCCGGGCCTCCCATGGACCACGGGCGGGTTTCGCGCCACCACGGGACGCGGGCCAATTTTACACTCCTATTAATGTGAATGTTAACATGTTAATTTGAATATTCACATTGTCAACGGGCCGGGCCCGCCCGGCTCGCGGGCGGGTTTCGGGCCGCCCACGGGCTAATTTTACATTCCTACCAATGTGAATTTTAAAATATGAATGTGCACATCATAAAATTGCTAACCGTTCAAAAAATATTTATAAAGGTATCAAAATTAAATATAAGGGCATAAGTGTCTAAGAAAATAGTGTAAATCAAGAAAAAAGACTTTGTTGAATAAAACTATACATACATGGGACTAAATGTTATAAAATTCCTTCATGAACTTCTTGAATTAAAACACTTCTAAATAGGATTTATCAATAATTTATCCATTTTCTTATTATATAGTGTGAATTTAACCTAAATTCGGCCCGGCTCAAGGTTTCTCCACCCCTAACCTTAACATGACCCAAATTGAATGGGCTTTTCCTTGCCTCTGTCTTCTGCTGCAGAACATCCCTCAGATAAAGATGGATTCTATTTTAACCCAACAAACGTTTCAACACGCTCAATTTAAATTCATATTATATTTTAATATGAATTTATTAACAATAATAACACATATTAAATCTTAAAATATATTTTTTTTCTTCTCATGGTATACCCTAATCAATTATTCTTATTTAAATCTATGTATCTTCTTCCTTAAGAGATCAACGCTATTTCTTCTTCTTCTTTTTCTTCCTCCCTCCAAAATTCCAAATTCACCCTACCAAAACTCACCATCATCATCAATATCGTTGTTTTTTAATATTTTGAAACCCTAAATTATAGAAGAAAGTTTGAACAAAATCAAATAATAGATGAGAGTAATAATCAAAATAGTTTTTTGAAACTATCCATTAAAAATGAGGTACGTATTCATATAAAGGGATTTCACAATTTTTGTAGAGTACCATCAATTATTTTATATATTGTTTTTTTGACAAAAATTAAAGGACTTAATGGTTAGATTAACAATAACATATTATTGGAGTTATTCTTATTTTGTCATTTAAATAGTACATTGTTTGAAAATTACTATTTCTTATTAGTGCTTGTTACTTATGTACTTATAAGTTTGGTTTTTACTTTTCTACGAGCATTCTTGTGAATAATTTATAAAATAAAAGGTTTTTTTTTTTTTTGTATTAAAAAGTTTTGTAATGCTTATGTAACAGTTTGATTTTTTCTATATTTATAATACTTATGTACTTATAAGCTTAATTGTTTTTTCTATATTTGAGAATTATGTTCTATATTAAAAACTTTTGGAAATAATTTAGTTTTTTAATTTGTTTATTATTTATTATTTGGGTTTACCTTGAGGGTAATTTTAAAAAAATAATAGAATATAATCAAAATAAAATAAAATTTTAAATAATTAAACATGATATACTTAAAAATTGAAAGTACTTTTAAGTGTAAAGCTGAAAGTCCAAGTGATTAATCATATCTATAGTGAAAGGAACAGCTGCGCGAATATTCTAGCAAATCAAGCCTCTCCTACAACTGATAGCTTATATATTTTTGACTTTGCTCCATCATGTATTGCTAATCAATTGTATGATGATACTCGCAGGGTTAGTTATGCCAGAACTTTGTACTATCTTACTTAATTATTTTAGTTCCAGATTACCAACACCAAAAAAAAAAGAGAATCCCCCCTCAGATAATAGACCACTAGATTTATTGGGCCTTATTGAGGCCCAGTGACCTTGTTCTTCATAGGCCCATTACATGACCCAAATTGACTGGGCCTTTCCTTGCCTTTTTTTTGGGTAATTATTTCCTTGCCTTGGTCAGCTCCACAACTCAACTTCCTACATGGACTTTATTACGTGGCTAACATTCATTGGCAAGAACAACATCAAAGCCTTCTCTCATTGGTCAGTTTGAGCATGACCACGTTGCAAAGCAAAGGGCACTCTTATTCTGGTCTTCGCCGTATAGACTCCGCTCGTCCACCCCCTGCCACGGCCAGTCTTTTTAGAGAGAGAGAGAGGGAGAGAGAGAGTTACAGGCGCCATTGTTGATCTCTTCATTCAGTTTTGGAGAGAGAGAGAGAGAGGTAGAAGAGGGAGAGACTGTAAGAGCGAGCGTTCGTCGAGTTCGAAACCATTGGCAAAAAAAAAAAAAAATCTCTATTCGTTATAGATCTGATAACAAACCCTAGATTTAGAGGGAGATATCAAATCTCTCCTGATCTCGGTGCCAATTCTCTCATGGCGCTTCAAAGATTAAAGCTTTTGTTCCTTCTATCTGTTTTATCGTACGCTGTCATCGCCATTGCAGCGTAAGATCGTCCCTTTCGAATTCATGTGCTTTGCATAAATATGTTCGTGTTTGTGTATATATAATGACTGAATGCATGTTTGTGATCTTTCAGGAAGAGCTATTATGATATTCTTCAAGTTCCGAAGGGTGCTGCTGACGAGCAGATCAAACGAGCGTATCGGAAACTTGCATTGAAGTATCATCCTGATAAGAATCAAGGCAATGAAGACGCTAGCAAGAAATTTGCTGAAATTAATAATGGTATGACTCTGGTATTACATTTCCTGAGTTTGTTAATTGAATTGAAGTTATTTATGTTATGTTTTGTTTTGGTTGATTGAATAACAGCTTATGAAGTGCTTTCGGACAGTGAGAAGAGGGGTATATATGATAGGTATGGTGAAGAAGGGCTGAAACAGCATGCCGCTAGTGGTGGCAGAGGGGGTGGAATGAATATTCAAGACATATTTAGCAGGTAAGTTGGTGTCCTTCAATCTTTCTTCAATCTATAAATGTTAAATCCTTTATGGCAAGCTTGACAACCTTGAAATTTCCAATTGACTTTCCATGGAGCTTGAGTTTGATAACAGGATTGGAACTGAAAATTCTGGGTAGCAGCACACATAAAGCCCAATTATGTTAATAGCTAAGAAATGATGGGTATCATTATATAAAATAAATAAATAAACATAAAAATACATCTATATTGTTGTTTGTGCTTGTGTTAAATTACAACTAGTTAAACTAACAATTCTTGGGGCCATCAGACTGGGGGAAACCCCTTAGATTAACCATGGTGCACTTGTGAAAAACTCCTTGCCGAGGGCCTGTGCACCCCCGGTGATTAGTCAAGTTTTGATCCGGACAAGCAGGGCTAATCCAAAAAAAAAAAAAATTACAACTAGTTAAACTTAGTATTTTTTTGAACCACTCTTTTACCATTAATAATGAATTCAAACTTCAAAGTGGAGGGGATAGTGGAACATTTTCGATCAGGGTCAAGTTATAATGCAGATGTAGATACTTTTGGATTGGTTTATCCTTTCACTTGCCTTAGTCTCTTGGGTTCGTCGATGTCTTAGTGTGTGTATATGTATACTTGAACATGTTATTTTAAAAAGTTTTCCTCATTTACTTAGCATGATACATTATACTCATAATAGCAATCCATTATTGTGCATTACTTATTTTCCTGTTTAGCAATCAAAACACGTCATCTTACTTGTGAAAAATATTGTACTACTCTTTTACCTAAAATGGTCATCTATGCTCAATATTGTATTCATTTACCAAAAAATATTTTGTTCCTTAGAAAGTATGGTAATTTCTTTCCTAATAACACATGCATTGTTGTCCATACCTCCATTAGGTTGCTATTATTGTTGTCTCTGTGAATCTACCAAATTATCATACTCGAATTGTTGCTTAGTGACATATTTTTCATGTGAAAGTTTGGTTCAACATTCTCTATCACTATTGACAAGATTAAGTTCTTTTCTAGTTTCTTTGGTGGAGGTTCAATGGAAGAGGAAGAGAAAATCGTGAAAGGTGATGATGTTATTGTTGAATTGGATGCAACATTGGAGGATTTGTACATGGGGGGATCATTGAAGGTAAGAAATTTGTTCAATTTGTGAGAAATATGAATTTCTTTCCTGTATCAATCGGCTTTACAACTATTTTCCTTTAACATATGCTAAACGTCTTTAATGATGGATGAACCTGACTATATCCTATTTTTACATGGATGCGTGCCTAGTAAATGTGAGTGCAGGTGCAAATCCGTTTTTAGTATAGACATGACGATACATTTGAATTTTTTGAAAGATCTCCTCTTTTATGTCTTGTGATAATATGTAAGAGTCAAAAAATTTGTTAGGCAGGGGTACATAACTCTTTTTGACTCGTACATATAGGCTAGAACCTATTAGGAATATAGAAAGGAGAATTTTAGTTTACTGCAAATCTGAGCCCAATTTTCCTTCAGCCTTACTTCTAGCATCAAATTGTTCGTTTGACATTAGTTTTTTTTAGGCATGCAAGATAGAGCTAAAATTGTTAGGCAACTCATTGATATGCCCTATTGAGGCTTTCAAATTGGAGTTTGTTAAGAATTTTGGAACCACCTTATTTGACCTTTTTGAGATATCCTGTGTTATTTAATCTTTGTTGAGGTAGCAAGCAAATGGACAATATGCTATATTTGGAAGAATATTTAACGTCTAGGGCCCAGTTTTCTCTTTTTGCTTTAGATTTTCCTTTGTCATTTCTCTATTGGGTCATTGTTCGCTCATTAGTGGCAATGTATTATGTGGAATTCATCAGGTTTGGAGGGAGAAAAACATTTTAAAATCAGCCCCGGGTAAGAGACGCTGTAACTGTCGAAACGAGGTCTACCACAAGCAAATCGGTCCTGGAATGTTCCAGCAGATGACAGAGCAGGTTTGTGCCTTTAATAATCTTGCAAGAGAAACCCTTATAAACACTTTTTTTTCTTGTTTATGGTTTGATGGCTCTCTTATTTATGTCCTTTCAGGTCTGTGAGCAATGCCCAAATGTGAAATATGAAAGGGAGGGATATTTTGTGACTGTTGATATCGAGAAAGGAATGCAGGATGGACAAGTAAGGTTTCTACATCTTTAGTATAATCATGATATATTTGATTTCAATAAATAGAAGTGCCACACTTGCACATTCATCAATACTATCATCCCATTGTTCAGTATCCCACCACATGGCATTTATACGGTTAGGTGTTAAAACTTAAAATCCTCTTGATGTTTAGCTAGGTGACATTACTTTGCTTATTGTAATGTTGTTATCCTTTCCTATCTCCTACAACATGTCCAGTACTACCAAGACATGAGAAACATAAATTCCTTTGGCAGTAACCTGCCAGGCAGTACTGATGTACAGTGTTTGCACCAGCAATATTTTTTTCTGTCAAACAGAACTCAAATAGAAAGCACAACTTTTCCTCCACAGTTTGGTATAACAGTACATCCAACTTTGCATGTTGTAGATGATGAGAAGGCAATGATAATCTAATTGTCCCTAGAAACGTTATAATGTTGCTGAATTGTTGTGTGAAAATGTTTTTTTGTGTGCCTGTAGTATTTCAAGCATTTCCTCCTAGGAGATGGATGCATGATAAAATACTGATGATCATTCGTAGATTGATAGACAACATTGAGGATGTTGCTTCGACCCATAGTTATAGATAATAATTTCCTTGTCTTCATACTATCTCATGCTATCCTTTGAAGGGTTTTATCTCCCCTCTTTTCTTTTCTCCTTTTATCAGAATAGCACTGACTGCTCTTTTTTACAGGAGGTGGTTTTCTATGAAGATGGTGAGCCTGTTATAGATGGCGAAGCTGGAGATCTAAAGGTAAGATTCTTCATCCTTGGCTTTGTAATGAACTTTCTAATTTGAATCATGTATAAATTGTATACTAACAGTACATACTACATTTGGGCAGTTTCGTATTCGCACAGCACCCCATGATCGCTTCAGAAGGGAAGGCAATGACTTGCACACAACTGTTACCATAACACTGGTAACTATGATCTCATTCTATACCTAATTATTGTTATTATGAGTTCATTCGCAAAATAAATTTGTTTCACCATAGCAGCAAGCTTGCTTTTCATTATTATTCTAGTTAATTAACATGTTTTCTTTACTTGAGGAGATCCTATCCATGGAATTTTAGATGTTTATGTGATTCCCTTGATGTACGTGACGAGGGCACTCTTCTTTTAGCATTTCCTTGTGTTGAATACTTACGTGTCAGGCCTTACTTTGGGCACAACTCATTTGCCTATGACGCAACTGTGTTAGACCCATTACATCTGTCCTTGATTTATCATATGGAAATAATTGTCTTTATTATGAGTTCTCTAAGCTTAAAAGAATCTACTTCAAAGTCCTTGACCTATTGTTGACATTGGCACCCAAAGGGAAATAAATTCTTATTTTCAACACTGCTTGTGACGTCTATCTAAGAAACATCAAAACCCTGTCGACCAAGAATAGTTGATGTATGCTTAACTTGGTTGAAAAGGCATGTTATTTCAGATTCCTTCTAAAAATTGGGTATTTTCTAGGGTTATTAGACCTGATGTTGAGTCGGTTTCTTCTTGGACGAGGCAGGAGAATACCTGAGAACCTAGCTTAGTATCTTCTGGGAAAATTCTGAACAGCCTTGAAAGTGTAAAAATGTTACGGCACCAAAGGCAGTGATGAGTTTAGATAGTTAAATTGGTGATGATATTTGCACTTCCTAAGGGCTAAGACAAGATACACAAAGGGGGTAATTGACTGTTGTGCAGGTTACAAAGCCATAGTTCATACCTGTATGGGTCATAATCTTCTTGTGAGTTCTCTAGTCAGTCTGTTTTGATAAGCATCACAATAGCTCAAGACTTGGTTTTATGTAGACTTCAGGCTAATCAGCCTTGCAAATCTGTTAAAAGAGTTGCTCAGTAAGTAGAGAAAATAATTGTTTGCCATTCAGTATAGAAGTAATCACAGATATGCTTTTACCCTTGGCAAGGTTGGTGTTGATTGGTGTGAAGTGAGGGTCTACTTAGTCAAAAGATATACTTGGTTGACTGGTCATTTCTAGTTTTGATTGCAAACCATGCATATAAATATGTTTGCGTTTACTTTTTTACTCTTCCTTATCTCTAGTGAAGTTCATTTCTAAATTTTATTTTCTTCAGGTGCAAGCTCTTGTCGGTTTTGAGAAAACCATTAAACATCTTGATGAGCATCTAGTGGACATCAGCACAAAGGTGAGCATCCCACGTCAAATGTTCTCTAATGCTTTCTTGCATTCAACTCAAATGAAAAATTGCTTCAATTATTTTACTCAAATAATTGTTAACTGCTCAGGGAATCACTAAACCCAAGGAAGTCAAAAAGTTTAAAGGCCAGGGGATGCCATTGCACTTTAGCACAAAGAAGGGCGATCTTTATGTTGCATTTGAGGTTCTTTTCCCAACTTCACTTACAGAAGATCAGAAGACAAAGATCAAGGCAATTCTTGGTTAGGGTTAGAACTAAACATATATATTGGGTACTAAAGATGTTCCCATTGTAACATTGATGAGGTCCATATAGAATATTCAAGGCACTTAGATTTCCTCTTCTACTTTTTCTTGTTATTTTTTCTTCTCAATTTTTGTCCTGAATCTTGTTAGGGGCTGTTTTTTGCGCTCTACTTTTGTCCCCTCAAGGTATAGATAGCTTCTTTTATCTTGTATTATGAAAACCTAACGAGGAGTAGACACTGGCCATGAAGTTTTTGGATGGAAAGTCAGTATTTCTATTTTTTGTTACCTGGTTCTGATTCTGATTCTGATTCTGAATGTGTGTTTGCAATATAGAAACACAAGGTGCTGTGACATTTTTTATTTACCTGAGTTCAACATGCTTGCAGTTGCAATTGCAATTTTTATCATTGAACCACGGTGATTATGGGAATAAGAAAGCATGATTGTATGTCACATGAAGTTGGGGTCATAATATTTGGTACGATATTTTTGGAAATTAGAAAATAAATGTTTTAACTTCTATTTTATTATTATCAATTTTTATTGGTGCACCAAAGAGACCCGATGTGCTCGTAGCTGAGGTTGCCCAGCCCACTCCTAGATTAGGTATAATATATTTTCATGAACTCTACAAAAAAAAATAATAATAAATAATTTAAATAAAAATAATATCTCAGTTGGGGAGCACACCAAATTTGCAAAGGAGATTTGTGAAGAAAAAGAGAATAAATAATAAAATAGAACTTCCAAACACAGGTTTGGTGCATATTTTGCAGAAATCTCATTCTTTCATTTAGGGCAGGTCATTTTATAGGCCTTCAAAATAAGTGACGGGAAACACGTTTAGGATTTAAAACGGGAGGCAGGAGAAGTATGCTGGGTAATGTGCACACACAAATTCAGAGCACAGGCATTGATGTAAGAGTGACTATTGTTGCAAATCAATCATCACAAGATATAAAAAGGCCAATAATAAAGATACTGCCAGAGCAATTTTCTAGTGTATAACTCGGAAATTTACAAAAATTTACTCGTATCAGTGCAAGAAAATTTATTTACACAGGCAATGCAAAAATCCAAGAAAAAGGAAAAAGGGCTTATGCTTTTTCCCCATCACTCAATTGTAGCCAGCTTCTCTTCATCAACCTCAAAAGCCTTCCTTGCTTGTTTCAGCTCCTCATTCATAGACAACAGTTCTGTACAGCGGTTAAGCTTTGGCAGGTCCTACAAAGGTCAAATGGTTGATACGGTATTAGGCCACAATCCACTAGATCAACAATAAATATATGATAGCATCAATGTCAAATCTCCAAAAACAAATATCTTCAGAGTACCATTTCAAAGAAAACTTCAACCGGCATAATTTGAGGGAGAGGAGCAAAGAAGGTTAAAAAAGTTCACACTATGGAGCAGAGCAGAGTTAGCCCAGTGGAAGGGTGCCATCACTGCTTCTCACCAATCCAGGGAACCCAGGCATCCTATTCGCCCCACCTTTAGAAAGATGACTATATTTGAAAAAATAAAAAGAGTCTCGCCTTTCATGAGAAAATGGTGACTTATTGTCTAATATCCTCTATTAGTTATAATTTTGAAACAAAAATAAATCTCACAGGGGAAAGCAAAGATCTTGTCAGATAAGGTATCAACGACAACAAAAGGACACTAATATTTCTAGAGTGTCTCAATAGGTGAAAAATTAAATAAATAACCATTAGCCAGCCTTTTCTACAAAACAATGGAGAGAGAGAGAGCGAGAGATTTTTTCTAACTCATCAGATCATCAAGAATAATTTCTATCAGACAGTTAAACTTCTACATGAGAACAAATCTAAGACTTCCCCCATCCCCACACCCAAAATTAAAAAAGAAAGAATGAAAGAGCATAAAAGTACCTTCCGAATTAAGAACAAAAAATCCTCGGTCAGAAGCTTTCCCCTTTTTGACGCAACATCTTCAGCTTTATGCACCTGCAGAAAAAGTCACATGTGTGCTTAAATGTTCCATCACTCTTAAATGAAATGAAATATGCTACCAACTGGCACAACAACAACAACAACCAAAAAAAAAAAAAAAAAAAAAACATATACTAATAAATAGATCATCGGACCAAAAACAAAGACTCTAAAATAACTGACTCTTGCATTACAGAGTGACTCCATTGCAGCAAGCCTATTAGTTTATTAACTTTTTTTTTTTTGGGTACATTTAAGGTCGTAGCCCCAGATGGTTCTATTAGTAAATTACAAACTTCCTACCCAATAGAGTCCCTATATCTCCCGCCCCAAGAACAAACCCAAATAAGTAAAGAGAGAGAAAATAAGAGGCATTTCTGTGCACATGAAGCCATAGAGGTCACCCCCTTGGCAGAGAGGGAAGGAGGGGGAGGGAGTTCAAAATCCTTTATTTGTGAATAACCAATAAGTTCGTTCAAAAAGAAGACACAAGTAGTCCAGCTTACCATATCAGTTACATACTCCACAACAATGTCCTCCACCAGCACCACGGTTTCTGGAAGCGGCTGTTAATATAGCACAAGAAATTAATAATTAAAAAAAAAATTGTTTTGTTGGTAAGCCTCTGATATAAAGTAGTGCATTATACAACATGAATTCAATGTGTAATCCAGCTAATTATTGGAGGATGATAAAAACCTTCCACACAAAGTAAAAGATGATATTTTCCAATGCATTACGGACGTCAATTTTTTTTTTTTTTCGGATAAATATTATAGAAGTCGAAAACTTGATTCAATACTGATTGATATATAACATTTTCCACAAGCCATAGGAGCCCCCCCCCGCCCAAAAAAAATAAATAAATAAATAAACCGGGGTGAGGGATAAACAATCTTCCCAAAGTACAATAGTGGAATAAATATACATATATATATATATATATAGAGAGAGAGAGAGAGAGAGAGAGAGAGAAGAGAAACTTCCGCCAGTTATGTTGAAAATCAAATAACAGTCCCTGTATCTTATCTCACTTCCCTAGCTCCCTCTACAGTAAACTGTAATTTATTTACATGTTTTATATATGCCTCTTCATAAAATCTTTATCAACACAAATGAAATACACTCATTTTAATGATAGAATGTGATGATACCAGTCAAACCTAAGACATAACCTAAGCTAGCACTGGTGCAGCTGAACACAACAGAAGACAAGATCAGTAATTAAGCTTGGTAGATCACATAACTACTAAACTTTAACCATATCTCGTGATCATCACATGGATACGAAGACAGAACAGTGTTTACTTGGAATTAGAAACAATATCACTAGTATTCTGCTTCTTGAACTCCACATCAAAAGTCTCTCCGCAGGGAGCAAAGACACAAGTCTCTGACTTGTCATGCCAAAAAAGCTATATCATCTCAAGTGAGAATATATTCATTTAATCCCCACATATCCTATCTTCAAGATGAAATTCTTATCTAACAAAGTGACTTTTGAAAACCATTAGTGCTAAGGTGAGTCGTAATAGAAACCAACTGAATAATCCAATAGAAGATGATAATAAATTTCCTAGAATCATAAATATAACATCATCGCCAAAAAAACACTTGTTGAAGAAATATTAGCAATAAATCAGCATCCGCTTGAACAATACACCAAATCATGTCATTGTTAAAATTTTGAAAACAGAGATATTATTCAATCAATGCATAAGAACTTCAAAGAAAGAGAGAGATAGAGTGATACATACATTGATATCATCTCCAAAACCATACATCATGTGATGCACTGTGACATCCCAACATACACGCAGAGGACGAGAACGAGAGAGAGGAGAGGAAAAAAGGGTATAAGTTGAAAATTCTTCGAGAAAAGCTGTTTAATGCACATAAGAGAAGTAAAAAACTCACAATCTTTCTGGAAAACTCCTCGCTTGCGCTTAAATGTAGCTTCCGATGGCTGGGATGATCCAACTCGTACTTTTGAAGAGGGTCCTGCAGAAGAATTGTTCATCTTCTCTGCACAATAGCTTCCGTCCAATCTGTTGGAAGAAATGAAAATAAATTAGAAATGACTCATAGATTAATTAGAAATGAAAATAAATTCCAACAGATCATGTCTTTTTTAAAACAAAACCAATGAACTTCTGGGCTGATTAATCAGGATATACAAACGCACATAATGCTCCATTTGGTTCATAGGAATGAGATGGAATGGAATGATCATTCCTTAAGCTCACCTATGGAATGATCATTCCCTTACAATGGTGAATAACGATTCTATTTGCAATGCATTTTTCACTATTTTTTTAGTCAACCAAACATAGGAATGAATATTTTAATGGAATGACCATTCCATAATATTTCATTCCAGTGAACAAAACACTATCTAAATGCAAATAAATCACACCCAAATTGAAGATTCAGGAGTGAAGGACAAAAGTTCAACAATCTGAAAACATACTTCTGATTGTGATTTCTTCGTTTTTGCTTCTGTGTTTTTCAGAAACAAAGCAATGAAAAATTCGAAAACACACCATGGAATGTCATTTTCATTTTTGTGCAAAAATAGTTTTAAAAAACAACCTATTTGCGTTTTCTAAAAAGTGGGTTGTTTTCAAAATTTCGCAAAAAACTGTTTTTGGAAACAACCAGCCAAACAGAGTTTTTTTGGGGGAAAAATGAAAACACAACCAAACTACTGATTTTCGAATCCTGAAACAATACCAAAATGAATCATATTCATTATAAATTTAAGATTCTTCTAAACAAAAATCAATCAAATTATTGTGAATCGATTATACTTGTAAAAGATGGCCTTTTGTTTTGCAGACATTTCGTCGTTTAACATTGAACTAACGGGAATGGCTATACAATCTATCCTGATCTCCATTTACGGAAGATGAATTACACATTTCTTGCTTGATTTTATAAATTACTTGCTATTCGAATTGGTTTTTTGCAAAAAATAAAAATAAAAAACCTAGGAGGAGGAACTAAAAGAGAAACGGAGGGAGAGAGAGAGAGAGAAGAGAGTACCAGATTGTGCTTTCCAGAGACAACTTCCTGCCGAGAGAGCAAACATGCGTTTTCTGAATAAGATTGGCGGCATTTAACCATCCATCGAATCCACCCAGGCCCAGCCCATATGCCCTGCTTTTGCCTTTTAAAAATCAGCCCAATACACATCACAAATGATTTGATATTAAAAGCGGAAAAAAAAAAAAAAAAGTTTATATCATAAATCCTAATGACTAAACTTATTTGCTCATAAATTTTGCAGTAATGATTTAGAACTCTAAATAAGGAGCTCTAAATTCACCAATAGTGAGGTGAAAATTGAAAAAAAAAAAAAACTGGGCACAACATACATCAGCATTGCTACATAGTAAAAAAAAAAAAACAAAAACCTAACGTCCCAAACAACGCCAATAGAAGGTATCAAATTCAAAAACGATTTAGAGATTTAAATAATGAGCTCTAAATCTACCATAAGTGAGGTAGAAAATGAAGAAGAAAAAAAAAGACACAACACACACTGTGGCAGTGAGTGAGACTCACTGTCACATCATTAGTGATGGCACTAATTAGTGCTCTCATTCATTTTCCCAACACACACTGTGGCAGTGGGTGAGACTCACTGTCACATCATTAGTGGCGGCTCTAATTAGAGCTTCCAAGCATTTTTGTAAATTTTAACGTATTTGCTCTTTGGCCTATTTTGCCAACATGGTTAAAAGTTAGTATTTCAATTTTTTGGCTTTTGGGGTAATCGTTTCTCTAATTTTTTACACTTTTTTTTTTAAAAAAAAATTAAAAATTAAAAAACTAACTTTTAACCCACTTAATGAAAAAAGGTTGGAGACTTTTTTAACATGTTTTGTGTTTGTAGAATTATCATTTGATAATAATAATGATACTGAGAAATTTAATAAAATAATTCATGATTTAAACATTTTGAGGTTTTGATTTCTTTTTAGTTATTTGTGTTAGTTTTTATTGAAATATAGTTTAATTGTATTTTGTAAAAATATTCTTACAATGATATCATCAATTAATTTGTTTGACAAAAATGTTTTGGGTGGCATTGACAACCTTGGGCCGTTCTTCAAAATTAACAATCTTTACATTGCATTTATCTTTCTAATTGTGTTTTTTACTTTATTTTGCTTGATCTTTTAGTAGAAATAATAGTGGAGTTAAAGTTTTTTGTTTCCCTCTCATGTTTAATGAAATGCTTTAGAGGGTGTTGATCAAAATTATCGATGGTGTGATTGGCAAAAGATGGGCTATGAAAGAAGGGTGTAGGGGAGAAGAAGCTCATGCCAATCCATCTCAAAGGAGATGACAACAGCAAGTATTAAAATTATTTCAATTTTTCTATCAAAGAGGTTAGCTGACCAACTCTAACAATGATCAATTATAACAAAGAGTAATTATAATTTCCATAACGCCTGAGAGATATATGTATTAAAGTTAAATCTTAAAGGTATAAGTATAACTAAAATATATATATATCAATATAATAAGGGAGAGTGGTTTTTGAATTTTGATGGGACTGTTGTCCCTATGTCAAAATGTGAACTGTTAGATTGAATCAATCCAACAGCTGAGAAATGTCCAAGAGACATTATATTTCAATGGTGGATTTACAATGGTGATTCAATCCTACGGTGTTCAAGAAAAGAGTTTCTTTGTTTTGATTCAAGAGGAGATCTCATTCAAGAGCAGATATCTTCTTCCCTTCCATCCATATCTCTCTCTCTCTCTCTCTCTCTCTCTCTCTCATTCAAGAGCAGATCGGTGACTTCGCAGATGGAAAGTTTGTTGGGTGCTAGCTTTGCTAGATCGGTAGGTCCAAATCGGCGTCATCGCGGCAACAAATCAGTGAGGTTCACTATATTTGTTCATCTCCAAATTTTTTTGGCGCTTCACATACCATCCCTTTGTTTTCTTTGTGTGTATATATATTGAAGCCACAGAGATCATCCCTTTGTGTATATATAGTGAAGAGTTTGTTGAATACTTGAATTTGTTGAATACTTGAACGAGAATGGCATCATTCAAAAGGGTCAGTTGAATGACTGGAACCAGAAATGCTGATGTTGTGGTGTATGATATGATGAAGTGTGTCCGATTTAATATGATTATAATGAGTTGTTTTACCCCATGATTGAATCTCTTTTATGTTCAAACCAAAAATATGTTGAAATACTGGGTGGTGTTTCTTTTTCAGTGATGGGATTATTGATTTTGATTATATGAATTTTCATGAAACTTTCTAATTTAGAGTTTAATATGAATAGATTTGATTATATGCATAGATTTGAAACTTTCATTGGGTTTCAGAAGCGTTAATTTGTTACAACTGGTGTTATGAATGGGATAGCAGTTTTGCTAAACTACCTATTGAGTTTTGAAAATGCATATTCTTCCAAACATGATTTCCATGGAATAGCTTTACAATTAGTTGCACCGAAAAATTCTCTATTTTGCTTAAGTTTAAAAACCCAAAAACCCAATGTGAATATTTATGTAATTTCTGTTCTGTCACTAATCTGTATTGAAAGCTTTTATTATCTATATTTAAGTTTCAAACATCATTTTTGAGTAATGTGTAGTAATATATGGAGAAGTATTAATTTGGGGTAATTGCACTGTAGTGGAATTCAGAAAAAAATAAAATAAAATAAAAATAATATTCATGAAAAAATTTACAATTTTAATTATTAATATTTATAAAGTTTCTAATTGATTTTGTAATTTTTGATTTTGATTTTGATTATATTGATTTTGATGGGATTATTAATTTTGATTATATAAATGCTAGGGTACATGCTGTTCTATTTGGTGCAGTTTATGGGATTAATTATAAACTGAAAAAAATACATATATTGAGAAAGAAAGGAATACTTTATTTTAGTCTCTGTTTTCATCCCTTTGTTTTTTTTCTTTGAAGCCATAGAGATTATCAATTGAAGAGTGGGTTGCACTTTTTATATATTGATTACAGATTTTTACCAATTTTTTTCTTTGTTTTTTTTTTTCTGTGAGTATTGTTTTTCTTTAATTTTGGGTGCACTTTTATGGGTTTTTGTTTACACACATATATGAAGATTTTTACCTATACAGATAATATATACACACATATATGAAGAGTTGGTTGGGTTTTTGAGTATTGTTTATTTTTATTTTTCTTACTTTGATTTACTAGAACTTTGTGGGTTTTCTAAGTTTAGGCTTAAGCTACAATGATGTTGGCATAGAATTGTTGGTTTTCTAAATTCTATACCTTTTAGATTCTATACGGCATAGAATTGTTAGCAAAATTCTAGAATTGTTGGTTTTCAAATTATATATTATTCTTTTTCTTTTTCTTTTTTTGACAAATAAACAAACTTTATTAATATCATGTGCATCCTTTTAAGAGTGGACATTATTAATTTCCCCTAATATATGAGAAATCAATACATGATAAATCAATATTTAGCCAAGAGAATGCATTAAAAAAATATATATGGTGCAAATAAACTATGGGTTTGTTGCGTGCTCTGTTCTGCAAAGTAAAAGTAATACTCTCATCTCTTTCTTAATAGATTATTGTGTGTATATATATTAATTACAATTTTTTTTTTTTTTTTTTCTTTGAAGCCATAGAGACCATCAATTGATCATTAGTGGAACAGAGAAAGAACGATTCCCAAAATCAAATTGTGAGTATTGTTTTTCCTTAATTTTCTATAATGCATGTAGGATTTTGGATATACTTTATGGGTTTTGGGTGTTTTTTCTTATTCATATATATTATCTATGTATATATACACATATATATGAAGAGTTGGTTGGGTTCCACGAAACCCATTTACTTTGATTTAGTAGGAATTTGTGGGACTATTGTATTGATTTACTCTATTGAATGTTTGTTGTGCCATTACTATCGTTTGGTTGTTACTAAAATGTTCGATAACCATTCTATCTTCCTTGCTTATTAAGTGTTTGATAAAATGTTTCAATGGAATTTACACACACACAAATTGACTTTAACACACACCACAAACATTGGCAATCTTCATCATAAAAATTCATAACTATCTTATGATGTGCATCCTTTTCTTTTTTTTCTTTTTTTTTTTGACAAATAAATAAGCTTTATTAATGTGATGTGCATCCTTTTAAGAGTGGTGATCAAGGTAATAATAAAGGTAATAATAACATTCTAATGTATTTAGCAAAATAATAATAATAATAATAATAACACTCTAATGATTTGACTGATAAAGATAATAATAACATTTTGAGAAACTTGCATCCTTGTGGGCAGTTTGGAAGTTGATTTCAATAATTTTTGACTTCCACGATTCTTTGATTTTGAAGACCAACACATGCTCTACATAGTTGATTTGTGGTGGTTCTCTCTCTCTCTCTCTCTCAAGATTAATGGGTTCAATAACTTTTTCGTGGTGAGCATCCAAACTTAGATTTTTAGATATATTTTTCATGTGAATGGGTTGTTATTTCGTGCTTTTATTGGTATATTAGTACAGAATTTTGGGGGTTTTTAGTATGTTGTTATTGCATTATTGTACAAAGAAGTTTTCATTTGAACCTTTCTCACCTTTGTTTCCCCCCCAATATTTAATGCACATTTGTAATCTCATCATACACCACCAATTCAGCCCACGTGTGTTTGGATTTTGTTTTAGGCTGAAGATTCATAATGGAATGATTCCCACTCACTCCCACCCCCTATCTCAGTTATATCTAAATACAATTTTGGTTTTTTTAATTGGTACAAATGTATTCAATTTCCATAGAATTCGAAACTTTACCAACGGAAGCAATTTCAAGTTGAAGCATGAGTTATAGATATAAAAGGTAAATTCATGACTTAATTTGTTTTATACTTATAAAAGTTGAGTTGGAGTTTTTATTACTAAGATTTCAAATTCATGATTAATGATTAATTTCAAGTTTTTATTCAAATTCAAATTCAAATTCATGACTTAATTTCAAGTTTTTACTTACTTATAGAAGTTGTGTTAATGATTAATATTTGAAAATTTTTTTTCCAGTTAATTGGTTTTGAATTTCATAACTTAATTATTTGGATTTGTAATACCATCTAGTTCAATTTTTTATTAATCTCATTAACAAAAGTCTTCTTATTTACATAGAA